GGCAGCCCCGGCCACCAGCCCTTTCCACTGGTGGGCAGCTCTCCAGGGAGGCAGCAGGAGCGCGGCACCACAAGTCCTCTGGCTGAGCCCCCATTCCGGCTTCAGGGTGTCCTGGCAGGCGTCAGCAGCTGCTTGCCTTCCTAAAGCCCTCGCAGGTGAGACCAAGAGCGCTGGGCCGAGTGCAAGTGTTCAGAGCTGACCCGAAAGCCTTTTTTCAGCAGAACATGCAAAAACAGCCACTCTATACTTTTATCACAGGTAAGCTTTTACACGGTGCTGCTAATATGAGGTGCAAGCTGTCTCGTATTACATGACACTAGCGTCACACTACAGCATACAGCGAGGAGGAGACTTAAAGCTGCCCTGGGTGTTACTTGTCTTTAAAAAGCAGGACCTACTGGGGAGAGGAATGAGATATAACTGCACTTTAGGGCTAATATTTCCTCTGCTTCATACAGATTTGTAAACAAAGTACAGAATAGCAGAGTTGTTCTAGGAGATAATAGAAATCTGCTGAGGTGACGGGTTTTTATAGTAAATAGAGGGGAAAAAGTAAACTAGCCTATTACACACACAAAACTGCAGTTTACATAACACCGCTTCCGGGGAGATGCCTGCCCTTCTGCTCGTTTGGAGGCATAGACAAATGTAGTTATGGCTAGGGAATCTTTCCATATCTGAAGGGCTACTCCAAACGTATTTCAACCAATAATCTGGTCAAAATAATGTAAACGTTACTTTTTAATGTCTACAGAATAACCACAAACGGCATTATGATGAGGTCAGAATGGAGGCCTTGAGTGTTGTTCCTTACGTGTCCATCTACAAACAGTACAAGATAGGAGTTTCACTTTTTATTTATGCCCCAGTGATCTTTGCACCCGTCTGAGCACTTGGAGTACATGACTGTAAGTCTTTAAACATGAGCATTTTTCTAAACAGTAACAGAAGTGTATTAGCTGCAAGGATAGCATAGCCATGTTGTAGTATAGAAGCTGCCCTGATCCTCTGTTGTTGACAATGCATAGAAGATTTAGAATTATGGAACAACTGTCCCTCCCTCCTCCCCCCCTCCCCCAATAGTGTTAACAAAAGCTTAATTTTCCAGTTTTAAAGTGCAAATGATTCAGATACAACTGCTGCTGGAACAGGTCTGAACAGAAAATGAAGTCCTCTTATGAGATGTTTTCCAGAATATAAAAGATGAGCTCCATTATGACTGGCCCCTCACTCAACTGACATGCCCCTCCATGAATCACCGGAACTAAGGCACTGTCCAGGTCATTCATGTACTGAGAGGGCAGTGGCTGTCCATTACTCCCAGCTTGATAACCAACCTAAAAAATACAAAGTAAGAGTGGGTTTTACAGAGAATGGGACACAAGGCTGTGGTTCAGTGGGCAGTACAGGGGAAGTGCTGTACAGGAGGATGAGCTGTGTGAGGTGCTGTGGTCTCTGCCTGGGGAACTTGGGAGGTAGCAGGCACTAAAGTGGCTTTTCCACTTGTTTTTGTTCTCTGTGTTCCCAGTGGCTGCCTAGACAAAAGCAGC